AACGAGCACATATAGGCGATCGGCGGGCTATGGACCCGCTGATCGTCTATATGTGAAACACCCGGTAACGGGTGTGTGCATTGATCGGGTCTTTTCTGCCCGTGCGTGCCCGCTAGGGGGCGCGCGCGAGCAGAAAAAAAATTGCCGTCTAGAGACGGCAACCCGCAGATGCAGCAGTGCCGTCCGTCCGTTTTTTTACTACGGGCGGACGGCAAGAGGTTAAAGTAGTATTAAACTTTTTTTTTTTCCAGTAATGAATCCAGAGCAAACAAATATACATTGCCCAGCAAAGCATTGCTTTACATCTTTGCCCAAACACTTCCAATCATCATGTTTGTGAACATCTGCTTCCGAGTTGATCAGCTCCGCTTCCCAGAACTTCCTGTCCAGTACAAGATCACAAAGAATAGTGCAGACTCCAGCAACTGTTCGTCTACTAGCCTGGAGGAGGGAGAAAAGGGGGCCAGGGGGGATGGACATAGCTTTTTTTTTGCTGTCTCTGTGTGTTTGTGGACTAGCTTATAGGAGGGAGGAGAAGGGGCCATGGGAGAGGGGAGTAGATTTATTTGCTGTGCCTGTGTGTTTTAGACACACACAGCTTACTAGCAGACACAAGGGTGACTGCATAGCACTGAGAAAGGAGTCACTCTAATAAAACAGGAAGTCAGGACCGGTGCTCAGGGGACCAGCTGATTCTGCAGCAAACTAAAACTTTTAAACATCAGTGAGCAGGGTTCATTGTAAGTTATTTTATCAGCATCTGAAATTGCTTAAAATCCTTTTGACTTTAATATGAAAAGAGTGTTGACTGACTGGGAAAGTTCTTGTGGACCATAGCAAACAATTACCTCCCAACTGTCATGATTACTCTAGTTGGTTGTAACAAGAGACTCTATTGCCAGCACACCATTTATCCCTCAACCAAAACAGGCCCCTGCATTCATTTAGTAGGGGCTTGTGTCTAAGCTTTTTCTGGAATGGTCATACAGAAGAAGACGAGCCGTTTACAACAACTCTTCTTATCAGGGTGTTGGTGTGTTTTATTTTTTATTTTTGGGGGTGGTGAGTGCAGAAAACCCCTTTGTTACGGTTACTGAGGCTATCTGCTGCCCTTGCATGTTGCACAGCTAACAGCCATGGCTTATCAGGCGGTAAAAGGAGCCATCACTTTCACAGCTGAAGCCTGGCTCTGGATAGTGTGTCATAACATGCTTATTTTCCACACCATTGCACACCATTGCACTCACTTTATGAAAGAATTTGAAAGGCAACGTGGAATGACAGCACTTTTTTTTTTTTGCTTGCAGATGTTGCCCTTTCATGACAAATACCTTTTCCAGGTCTCTGGATAGTGTAACCAGGCAGCCTGCCTCCCATTTATTTTCTGTTTTACATGCCAGGCAGCCCCTGTGACAGTCGGGGGTGGCTTTATTAACCATGGGACTGTCAGGAAGGTCAGCTTTGTTGCAGGGCTCCCTTTGTAACCTAGGGGCGGAACTCTGATTTATGTCTCCGAGTTCAGAGAGTAAAAATAGTTCCCTGAGTGTGAAAACTGTTAGATGTGCGACTGAGCAAAACAAACAAAGAACTTCAATGCAAAACAAATATCCCGGGCTTGGGCTTCTTGAGCAAATGTCAGGAGAAATAGCCCATCTGCCATCTTGCTGGCTTCCACATTGCGGATGTAATACTTCTAGTGAGGTCATTTTATGAAGTGTTAAAGGCTAAGGGATAGGGAGGGGGGAAGTCAGCTATACTGACCTTGGATAAATACATTAAAAATGTTGTGTGTTAATTATGTTAGTTCCTTGCATATAACTCATTATAAATATGCTATTTACAAAAGAACAGGCCTGCTTTAATCATTTAGTTTGCTTTGCCTGTAGCATTTGGGTGTACAGTGTCTTAAAGCTAGATTTCGGTCTAGATCCACTTTAAAGCAACCTTGTTGAAAATATAAAGCACTGTCAACCCTTAAAAATAGAAGATTAAAGCAGCATTCATACTAGCGGCTGCCCTGCCATGCACAACTGCTGGTGTGCGTTAGCTGTCACAGTGCTGATGCACCCATCTCAGGGTTTACCTTTTTTTTTTTGTTAGAACTTTATTGAAGTGTCACTTGTTTCCACGGGCACAGTGCAGTCGATGCAGTTGTACCATTTCACGACCCGCTGTGCTGACAAAAAAAGCTGTGTATGCAGTACTGTTGTTTTGTAGCGCACACTACATCAACGCAGTGGTTTGAACTATGCCCATCCATGACAAGGAACATTGCCTTGTCTTGCGTCAGGGCTGCTCTGCAAAAAATACGCAGCACAGCCCCAAGTCTTAAGCTGGTCATACACTTTACAACCATAGCATGACTTTCATTGTGCGATGGTTGTAAGGTAATTAAAAGCTTGTACGATCTGCCCATCTTGGACAGGCAGATCGTACTTGCGATCATCGCAGGCCCGTCCCGCTGAGGGAAGGGTTTCCAATGACTGCAATGCTGAAAGGGGGGTGTGTGCGCTTGCGCACACCGGCCCGTGCAGCATTTTTCTTACGAGCACGACACAAACCCGCCAAAAATCTTACGATTTTCGGCTGGTTTTCCAACGTGCTCATAAGACAAAAGACGTACGGTCGCACACCTTCCATACACATACACCTGCCGATTATCGTACGATCACGGGATTTCCACTGAGTGTATGGCCACCTTAATACTTACCTGTGCGGTGGGTTACCAGCTTTGCTGCTATCCAACACTTTTGGGTATGTCGGATTGCTTGCCCCCACCACGCACTGTAGAGACGTAGTGTCCACAAGGAGAAACTACAGTGTGTGGTGGTGGTGGTGGTGGGGGGGGGG